GTACCATTGGAATCAAACAGGAATAGAGTTATCGTTCCTGTTTGAAATAGTTCTGATGTGCCTACGCTAACGTGTTTGCCGTGGGCTGTGCCCCTGGGTCGGTGGAGGACGGTAGTCTGGTGGTTGAGGGCAAAGGAGCCAGGAACAGTGTTCCTTTTGCTCAACACATCACTTTCGACGCTTACTTCACCTAGACGGGTGGTAGAATTGGCCCGATTCTATCAATCGGCTGGTCACACTGTGCACTGAGCATGGATAATTATAATTCCTGTATTTTCTGATATTTCATGTGGTTACTATGGAAACCACAAACTTCCGAACGTATTACAACTTTGCCTAAAGTCCTATGCCAGAAGGCGGTGGCTCATGGGCAAATCTGGCATTAAAGACCTCCGGGTTCTATTTGTTGGCCACGAAAGCTTCTCTCTATATTCCTCTGACTTCCGAGACAACAGCAACAGGACAGAGGTCGTACGATCATTCACCCACTCAAGAATACACGGATTTGGACACGAGTAGTGAGGGATCCTTTACTATGGCCACAGCGTGTGCAGACTGCATGGTGCTCATAGACAACATGCACGACTTACAACGACATATCAAAACTTGGTGTCCGGAAAATGCCCTGAAATCAAAGTGAAAACGTACCAGATACGACAGAGGCCGATGATGATTTCAGTGACTTACCCTCCCAGAAAGGTGGTGGTCTTGCTGTCAAATATCCTCGTGGGAAGCCAACATTTACTGACATGGAAGTTGAAGAGTGGCAAAACGTAGGCTTACAACGTATCTGGAAGCACGCTAACAGATTTTCAAGTTCTAAATCCTATTATTGTTCTTTTTCTTAAGTACTGAGTCATCCAAATTATACTTTTCAGTAAATGTGCGATAACCCTTTGCAAAATCAAAACTAAAGTGAAATAGTGAAGAAGTCACGTACTTGCTTCTTCAGTGTTAGCTTTCTATACTTTAATCAAAGTATAAATGGAATATTCCTCATCATCGGGATCAGGTGGTCAGTCTGGCTGACTTGGTTGACACATGTCATCGGTTCCCAATTGCACAGATCGCTGCTCATGCTGTTGATCACTGGATTGTCTGGTCCAGGCCCATTTATTTACAGACCGCCGTCCTATAGCTGGAATATTGCCGAGTGTGGCGTAAAGCTAAGCTCACTCTATCATAATATGTATAGTTCCTAGACAGACATCGGCTCAAGCTTTACAAATCGATGAACCTCCTATTCATACCAATACATCTAAAAGTAATGTAATCATTTAAATTGTGAGTTTAAACGCATATTTTACATGGATTTACCCTATGAAGGTTGAGTGCATTCATTCTACACAAACGCTACCCCTCCTGTTATCAATCTGTTATCAATCTGTAACTGATTATAGTTCGATGGTCTGAAAATACCCAGAGCTGTGTTGACCCTAGACATGTGTGCGGGCGAGTTCATTCATCAGAAATCTGTTACTTACGATGTATGTATACATACGAAATGCTAACCACACTCATAGTAATGTTTCATGTAGCTGTTAGAACCGTAACTAATCTATTGAAAGGTGTCATACATTCATGTTCAGATATATGTATAAAGTCTACACGCACATACATTACCGCAATTTATTCAGATGTATTAAATACCGGTTACATTTAATATATACACACACAACAACAACAAAACAAAGGTTTAATGAGGGGAATATCCATGACCTCTCTGAAATAACTCCCTTTAAAAATAACAAATGTACAGCACATCTTCCCTAACACATAATAAATACGGTACACTGGTGACATAATTTATGAATGGGAAGCTTCACCGGTAGGCGAGGCCGGTATGTTGACAATGTTAGGCCGGTATGTTGACATTGTTACGGCCGGTCAGTCGCTTAGTCTCTCTGCTGCACACTAGCTATGAATAAACCTGCTTCGACATATTTTTTCCAATGAAACATTTTCCTCGCCTTTAAAATTTCCATGTTAAAATATGTTATCTGTGCGATTAAGGATGAAGATCGTAAACATGAAATACGTTGCTTGCCTCTACATGTTTTATCTATTTCTTCTATCTCTCTCCAAACAGACCCGTGCTTGCCATAAAAGGCGACTATGCTTGTCGTAAGAGGCGACTAACGGGATCGGGTGGTCAGGCTCGCTGACTTGGTTGACACATGTGATCGGTTCCCAATTGCGCAGATCGATGCTCATGCTGTTGATCACTGGATTGTCTGGTCCAGACTCGATTATTTACAGACTGCCGCCATTTAGCTGGAATATTGCTGAGTGCGGCGTAGAACTAAACTCACCCACTCTCCAAACAGTTTGTCTAACTTACATGGTGCACATCTTGTAGACCATACAGGGGCGGATAGAGCTTTTGAGAAAAAAAAAGGGGGTTTGCACTATTGAGAAAAGGAGGGGTGCACATTTCATTTACACCCGAGTTTCAATGGTGATTTAACAAACTTTCAGCCCCCGATCCAGACATACATTTTTCCTACATTACCCGGCGTAGATATTGTTGACACCACCCGCCTCTATTGTGAGATGATGTACACTGTACTTTCAACACACACCCTGTATTCATCAAAACAGGATGCACGCTCTAGCAAGCTGTTTGAAACGACCGGGTCACGTGAGTTGTCAAGCATGCTCAATTCAAACTGGGCTGACAGGTACTGTCTGTCTATTCAGGGCAGCACGCTATACATAGCTGTGCTCATTACACTTTGCTTTTGTTTTCTCGCCTTATAAAGGATTTTCTACAAGTTTGCATGACTGCATTGCACAGACACCTTATTTGAAGCATTACCCATACTCTGTGCCAAGTTTGGTGAAGAAATATTCAACGGTTTTAAAGATCTGCTCCGGGAAAGAGCACTACCACCAATGTCAGTCAAAGTCAAACTTGTTGCCATGGAAATGCAAAACATATTTTATTCAGAAACCCAAAACTACCAAAAAGGCACCAGTACACCACAAGACCTATCTATGTGTCAAGTTTGGTGATGAAATATTCAACGGTTTTAAACTTCTGTTCTGGACAAGATGGCATCCTCATAGCCACAACCTAAGTCACGTTTCCATGGAAAACGTAAAAAAGAAAATTCATATCTGGGTCTAAACCCCAAAAGGCACATCTATGGATCATGCTTGACATATGTACCAAGTTTGATGAAGCTAGCATGTATAGTTTGGAAGATCTGCTCCGGACGTGATGACATCCTCATAGTCACACCCTAAGTCATGTTTCCATGGAAACAGCAAAAAATACATATAAAAAAATTCATATATGGGTCTAACCATCAAATGGCACATCTATGGATCATGTTTGATATGTGTACCAAGATTGATGAAGCCAGCATGTATAGTTTGGAAGATATGCTTCGGACAAAGTGTGACGAAGGACGGACAGTTTGTCATACATCCCAATATATTACTGATTCAAAATCGGTCATACTACATTCCATACACCAAACTTACTCAAACAACATATACCTATACATTAACTAAATACCATTCACACGAACAATTCACTCATTCAAACTCAAATTTATCATTGTCAAACAGAATCTCTGTCACCTAACCTTTCATACACTAAACCTACTCAGACAATATGGCCATACAATAACTATAAAACATCCACATTAATTATTCTTCCCTTCCATCTCAGTGTTTCATACATCTCAGTCAGCTATACCTATACATTCACTCTAACACATATACCATATCTATCAGCATACCTATCCATCCATTCACAATTACCATACATACACATCTGTTCCTCATTTAAACTCTGTCATCACTGTCAGAGACATGTTCTTACACTATCTGTTCATGCATCTCAATCAAACAATGTATCTGTGCATTCATTGCCAAACATTAATCGTACTAACATCATGCATAATACTGTACAGATGATAAAAAATGATAAAAGTCAATAACAATAAATTCTGAAATATTCTCGCAAATAATTACTCACAATGGCAATTTTTTATTGTTATGTACTTACCTGTACAACTAGACAGAATTGTCTCATAGCAGCATCATAAGTTTCTATCGACCAATATAAATATGGACAAGTACCAAATGTTATTATTTTGAAATAATGCATCCTTATTCAAAACTTAGCATCCACAATACTTATTGCCAAAGCCAAGTAATGCCTGTAGCGGCAATGGCGTGTACAACTTGATGCAAATCATATTAGGGAAATCACATGAACAATGTTATGATCAACTTCCTTATTGCACAGTGACCTTTTGGTATAGATATGTTTCAAGCATGGGAATGAATGATGTACAGTGGTATGTGGATTTGAAAAAAGACAATCATTTCATGTTTTAATTGAATTGTTTATACAGTCATATGCTATCTATTTTGGTTTACTAACTTTACAACGTACAGACGTAACTCGTCAGTTACTTTCAGCTCAATTATCACTGGAAACATCAGTTGTTGTTGCAGCTCGAGGCATAACAGCCCGAATTAGAAACATTAAACCATCTGTAGCTTATTGTTTAAGAAAGTTAGGACATTGCTGACGGTTTCAGCGACCTTGTCTCTGCTGTTCGGACATGTTGACAATCAACTGGCAAAGGTGCACCTCTTCACAATAATAGACCCAACCAGTTGTGACACGGTCACGCAATGTATTAATATTCACTTGATCAGGTCAAGCTGAACAAGCTGTATCTGCTTAAGATATTTTGTCAGATGGAAATATACTCCAAACATTAAGTGTGATTGTACTGATGGGATTCCTGTGAAGTAAGATGTTTCAAAACCCTAGTCCATTCCCTTTGGTCTTGGTAGTAAGTTTGCAAATGAGTAGGAAAACTTACCTTTGTTATCTGAATATAACTGCTATTCAAGTTGACTCCTCAGAGGCTGAGCTGAGAATGAACACGCCTTCAGAGAAGACTTTATATACCCTTACGTTATTCTATAAATATTCATTTCTCGCGATCAGGGATTGGCTATTGGGATCCGCCGTGTGCCGTAAGTTGTTTACCTCAGCATTGTCACCCAGTGGACACATGGATGATAAAATTGAGCCACATTTGTGACATTATAGGAATCCTCCAACAATGCTGCAGGAACTCAAATATGGAATTTCAGCGACATCAAGTGAGTGAGTGAGTTTAGTTGTACGCCGCACTCAGCAATATTCCAGCTATATGGCGGCGGTCTTTAAATCATCGAGTCTGGACCAGACAATCCAGTTATCAACAGCATGAGCATCGATCTGCGCAACTGGGAACCGATGACATGTGTAAACCAAGTCAGCGAACCTGACCACCCGATCCCCTTAGTCGCCTCTTACGACAAGCATGGGTTACTGAAGACCAAGTAGCCTCGATCAGGCCAAGAAGCCAGACCTGTATCAATCTTTATTCAATGCTCAAAGACCACAGGCCTATGGTACAATATAAAGTAGTAGTGTTAGGAGAGTGTGTTTTTTGTAATTTGTATTATCATTGATTAAGTGATAGTTATTATGGGTCACAATGTTTAGAGTTTTGAGTGCTGGTTGTGGGTCACATTTCGCATCATATATGTTCAATAGCAATAGTATTTTTAGCGGTACGCCTTTATGATAGCGCTGGTTGAAAGGAGACTCTCAAACCTTTTGTCACGGCAAATTATTAACCGTAACAAAATTGGGGGCTCGTCCGGGATAGAATTTATTTGACATTTGAGACCTTTTTCTGAAATATATTTCAAATTTCTGCAAGTTTGCAACAAGTTAATTGCGAAACCAGTAAAATGGTGCTTAACATTGAGAAGTTTCTTAAGTGCCCTGACCCTGAAACAGTCATTGAATTGCGCAAATTAGATTTATTGCAAATTTCTTCACATTTCAAACTCCAGGCCAAACCCGTTATGAGGAAATTTCAGATTTTGAAAATTGTGTTGAATCACTTTATTGATGAGGAAGTTTTGGGGCATGGGGTTTTTTGAAATGGTGAAAGAAGAAAATTCAGAAAATTTGGAGATGAAGAAACTTGAAATTCAATTGCAAATTCAGAAAGTGAGTGAGTGAGTTGAGTTTTACGCCGCACTCAGCAATATAATTCAGAAAGAAGAAATAGACTAAAGAAAAGAAACAGAAGAAATGGAATTAAAAAAGTTTGCAATGGAGAAAGAAATAGAAATAGAATTGAGAAAATTAGCAATTGACAGGAATTGAACTGAAAAGGCTAGAAAATTCTTCTCCTCCATCAAATTCTTCCTCTTTTGACATTGCAAGGCATGCAAGAATGGTACCCCCTTTTAACGAGAAAGAAGTAGACAAATACTTTCTACATTTTGAAAAAGTTGCTGAAAACCACAAGTTGCCTAGGGAGTCTTGAAGGGTAAAGCTCAGGATGCTTATTCGGCCTTGTCAATACAGCATAGCTCAGACTATGATCTTGTCAAAAGGTCACTTTTAGATGCTTATGAGTCAGAGCCTGAACCTTATAGTCAGACATTCAGAAATGCTCATAAAAGGGACAATGATACTTTTGTAGAGTTTGCTAGAGAAAAGGGAAACCTTGTTTTATTGGTGGTGTGGGTCTAAGGAAGTCACAGATTTTGATGGTTTTGTTGGAGGATTTCAAGCAGAGTGTTCATTCTGATCTCAAGACTGATTTGGATGAACATAAGGTTGATGACTTACATGAGGCAGCGATGTTGGCAGATGTTGCAAAATGTCCAAAATACAGCCTCCCGAATCATAAGCAGAACTTCAAAGCGCTCACACATAACACCTGTCATGAAAAACCTCCACTGGCTGCCTGTTAAATCAAGAATTGACTTTTAAATATTGTGTTTTGTCTACAAATGCCTCAATGGCATAGGCCAAGAATACTTGAAAGAACTTCTTACCCCGTACACTCCAGAAAGACAGCTCCGTTCTCAGAATCTGAACCTACTCTCTGTGCCTCGGTTCAAACTGTAAACTTTTGGAAGGAAATCCTTGTCTGCTCTGCCCCCTCTACTCTGGAACTCTCTCCCTATCACCATTAAATCAGCAGTTGACTTTTATTCCTTCAAACGACTTCTCAAGACTCATCTGTTTTCACTGCATTATGACTAGCAACTAGTCCCTTATTATATATATGTATATTATCCACTCACTTCGTTAGCGCTTTGAGCATGGGCCTTGTGCATGGAAAAGGCGCATTATAAGTTCACATTTATCATTATTATATTATTATGGTTATTGTTTAACTCACAAGAGTTCTTTAAGGTCTTCGGGGCGGTGGGGTAGCCTAGTGGTTAAAGCGTTGGCTCGTCACGCCGAAGGCCCGGGTTCGATTCCCAACATGGGCACAATGTGTTAAGCTCATTTCTGGTGTCCCCCGCCGTGATATTGCTGGAATATTGCTAAAAGCGGCGTAAAACTAAACTCAGTCAGTCAGTCTTTTAGGTCTTCGGGTAATACAAAGCTTTCTGGCCAAAAAGGGATTTTCCAGTGTAAGACTTCAGGACATGCAGCTTACAATGGTGTTAGAACAGGTTCAAATTCTTCTGACAAACAGTCACATTCTTTTCAGTCTAAGCCTAAGACTTCCAGTGGTTCTGATCCTGGGTGCCGCTCCACTAACCGATCTTAGCCCTACGCCAATCATAACCCCCTAAAATCCCAATCTTAGCGCGACGTTACGATCGGCTTACCGTTCCACTAACCAATCTTACCCAAGTCAATCGTAAAGTTACGATTCAAAGTCTTAGTTGCTCACGACCAACTTAGGATAGCTAAAATCAATCTTAGAGAAACCAAAATGGTGGCTTTCCTATTCTATGTGAAAAATAAGAACGTGCATTTAACCGTGATCGTCCCCTAAAATCCCCCATGAGATGAATTTGTATATTTCTGTGATGTAAACAAACACTGCACTGAAGCCTTACAAATGTCAGGACAGTCTGACCACTGTCGTCATGGGAACACAACCGAGCGAGTCGGTGTAACACATTTGTACAACAATATTGCAACGTCATGGTTAAGAATAAGGACAGCCGTGAAGTGAACAATGTTCTGAATCAAAAAGATACAAATATGTTTGATTTCACATGCGCTTATTTGGTGGGGGATTCTAAAGGCAGGCCGCGTGTTATTCAAGACCACTGACAGATTCTAGATACGTTATAGAGGATGCCTCGTCACGCCTTGTTTATTCTGACTGACAAGTTTCAGGCACATAATAAAAGCTCTGACACAATTGACATTTTTAAGTCCAGACTTAAAACATGTTCTCAGTATATTACACTCTCTCAAAAAAGAAACGCAACCCCTGTTTTTTTTGGTAATGTTTATATCAATTTTAACTGGTTATTACATTTGTATTTTTAAAGCTAATGCCATGAAATTTGACATGGTGAACCTTAGGTCAGCACGGTATAAGGTAACAGTTAATGCAGGTCAGTATCGAACTCTCAATTTACGCTAGGGGGTGTTGTCTTCAGTATCTCGTTGTAGAGCCACGAGCTCTAATCACAGCAGTGCACCTCCTCGGAACAGAACGAATCAGACGGCGGATGTTTTCCTGGGGGATTGCTCTCCACTCTTCCTGGAGTGCTGCGGCCAGTTCAACCAACGTGTGCGGTTGTGGTGTACGTGCACGAACACGACGATCCAGCTGGTCCCACAGATGTTCGATAGGATTGATGTCTGGCGATCTGGAGGGCCACGGCATCACGTTGACGTTTGAATTCTGTAGGAATGCCACTGTTGCACGAGCTGTATGAGGGCGGGCATTGTCATGTTGAAACAACTCCCTCTGTTGGGCGATTATCGGCAGAAGATGTGGCTGTAAGACGTCATCAATGTACCGTTGTGCCGTCAAATTGCCACGAATGATGACCAAGTCTGACCGTTGGTTGTAAGACATGGCTCCCCATACCATGATGCTTTCTCCTCCAAATCTGTCGACCTGTCGAACGCAGTTCGGTGCAAAACGTTCATTTGCTCGTCTATAGACACGTTGTCTACCGTCACGTCGTTGAAGAAGAAACGAGACTCGTCACTAAACCAGACTCTTCTCCAGTTTCTTAGGGTCCATCTCCTTACGTTAGTACACCACCTGAGACGTTGGCGTCGATGTTGGCGTTTCAAGACGGGCCCAACAACTGGTCTTCTTGCACGTAAATTTGCCTCATGTAAACGGTTCCTGATGGTTTGGGCCGATACTCTCCTCAAACCTGGCACCTGTGTTGCAGTGATGGTGGGTGTGGCATGCCGATTACGTAGGTGGCTGAGTCGAATAAAGCGATCCTGAGCCGGTGTGGTGATCCTAGGTCTACCGCTCCTGGGACGATCTTCAATTGCATGGAACTGTGTGTAACGATTCCAAAGTCGTGAGATTGTTGTTTTGTGTACGTTTAGATGACGGGCAACTGTTCCAAAGCTTTCCCCGGCCTCAATGCGACCAATGGCAATATTTCGATTTGCTGTACTCAAACGGGGCATTTTCGAACTTGATTTGCAGAGCAAATTATGAGAGAAAATTACAAACTACGCGTGCTTTTAACACCCTCTACATGAACTGTGTTTTCAACGATTTGCACGTGCAACAGGCTTTTAGCATTTTGTACATGACAATTTAGCACTTTCTCAAATAACACGGACAAAGGTCATCATGTGTGAAAATGGTTCCGTTTGGGAGCTTATACTGATCAGATGGGAACGTATTAACAGTATTTTGAAGAAAATTCTAATTTACATTCACCATCTTTATTCTAGAAATGATGTCAGATATTTAGATAGGGGTTGCGTTTCTTTTTTGAGAGAGTGTATTTATAATCTCGGCTGTAAATACTCTCGTGTAAATTATCTGTACATATCGCTTTGAGCATGCCCCATGATGTGGAATAGGCGCACTATAAATATGCATTTATTATTATTATATTATGCCAGATACGCAGCGTTCACACACACTTGCACCTGAAACCAAGGTGCTGACTACCCTATTATTTTGCTCTAGTTTTTTTCTCCACGTTTACACTTGGTTGGAAAAATACCCATGAAGGCCCGGATTAGAATATTGAACTTCAATAACTCATGCTTGTCGTAAGAGGCCACTAACGGGATCGGATGGTCAGGCTCGCTGACTTGGTTGACACATGTCATCGGTTCCCAACTGCGCAGATC